TGGCGTACGTACTTGCGTGAGGTGGCGAAACTTAAACAAGATGTCGCTATACTAGAATAAAAAAATTAGGATCTAGAGGCTAGATCTCAACGCTGCAATTTATGCATTACGTGGGTGAAGGAAAAACAGGAGGAGGGAAAGCATATACCCAACTTCATATCTGAGCTGCTTAAGGGCTCGCTGTATAATGCCCCTGTGATAAATTGGACACACAGGACCTTAAGATCGAGACCAGGGGATGATCATCCAGCAAGGGCAATTATAGTGAAATGTCACTATTTTCAGGAGAGAGAATTATTGCTTAAGAAAGCAGTAATGGAGAAGGGAGATTGTCACATCGGATGGAAGGAGACAAAATACATCTTTATCCAGATGACACCCAAAAGGTCACGAGACAGCAATCAGCCTTCAACGAGGTACGAGGTCTACTGGCCTCAATGGATTTAGATTTAAATTTTACAAAAAGTTATTACACCAACTATTTGAAAGAAATTTTCACGGAAATAAATGGACAACATTTTTTAGAAAGCCTTCGATCGCATTGAATATAAGTATTTATTCACAGCCCTGAATAATTTGGGTTTCGGATCTATTATTTTGCATTTGGATTAGTATAAAACAAAAAAATTCTCCTCCCGTCCCCTCCACCGGGAGTGAGGCATGTCCCCAGTCCTGGCAGCCTCTCCTCCTTCCCTGGGTTGCCCATCTCAGGGCCGCTTCGAAGCCTTGCCAGGGTTCTTCGCAGCCTGCTGAGGGAAAGGTAGTGCTACTTTCCTGCTAGATGACCTCTGTGGGGGTTGAGCTGCCGGCCCAAATGGTGGTGGGGCCCGTGAAACCTTCGCAAGGGGCCACCAAGATGTGCTTGATGGCCTACATCTGCTTTTTTACTGTAGAGAACTGCTGCGCAAAGTCTTCGTCAGTCTCGCTGAAAAGACCACCTTGGGAGATGGGAGCGTCAAGAAAGTGTACTTTTTCTTCATCCCACATCTCTGCCAGCTTGAGCCACAGGTGGTGCTCCTGGACCACTTCATAGCCCATAAGGCACAGTCTGTCGCTGAGAGCAGTTCCTGCATCACCTCTAGGTCGATACTATACCTCTTGTAGATCTTTCAGTGTTCTGGCCTGAAAAACATGTGTAACCAACACGACCTGCTCTGAGCGGGATTCGAACCGTGGGAGGAAATTGCCTCTTTTACCTGCTGTCGAAACACCCAGGGGAACTCCCTGCACTTATCTGTGTGTTGTATGAAGAGACCGCTGAAATATGCTACAGGATCCGGCAGTACTGGAGAGATGATCGGATTCATAGATTAGCTTCCACAAGAGACTCATCTACTGGCCCGCAGAACAAAGCTGAATGAGTGGAACACTCCAGCCTCCTTTTGTACCCGTATGACCGGGGGAAGGGCTGGCATGCAAATTCCACTCACCAGCCTTTTCTGAAATTAGAGATGTTGGCTCTCGAGTGCAACCCCTAGTGTCAGTTTCGACACAACGTCGAAGTGACTGACAGATGGGGAATTGAAAATAAATCCCAGAAGTGATATTAGTAATATTTAAATCATTCTGCAACCGTACTTTGTTAAGGCATAAAAAATTTTTTTGTTTGGTTCCGGTTTCCGACCGACCCTGTCAATTTATGTGCGACCCAAATTTATTTTATGAGCTTGGGGAAGAAATAATAAAAAATTTAATAAATACGCAAATAAAAAACTTTGAGGCGAACTATAATTTACGTTTTTGTACAGCACCGTATTTTTATAGCACGCGATGCAAGATGCCTGTTGTCCTCCAGCAAAACAAACAGGCAGCTACATGGTCGTTCACACATCGTTCGTCAAACTGAACTATAATACATATACAAGTCTTTTTCTTTTTTTTTTTTGTCATTTAGGACACTTTTATTCATATACCCACACATACAAATGCATGCATTCATAGGCACGCACAAACACCACATGATGCGTTAAAGAGTAACCTCCATCCGCCTCCCAAGTTTCATTAAAAATCATCCCAAATCCCAATACCCTCTTCTGCTGTCTACCACTTCTTTCGCCATGTATTTGTTCGTTTCTTTTATTATTTTATGCAATCCAAAACACTCTAACCTGCCGCGCTTCGTATCTCCAGAGCCCGTCTAACTTGTCCGGGGGACAAATGGATTTTTGAAGGACAATGTAGAGAATTTTACTTGCCCGAACGGACAAGTAGCCTGATTAGAACATCAATAACAAACAAAAAAATAACTAGGGAATCACTAAACCGAGAGAATGATTCTGATTTTATTACATTTATTGTAAGTTGCGATCGATTGTGGATAATAAATGTATTAGCCTGCTGACGGTGAGGTTGCGCTGTTGACGCTCGCGCAGCCTCTCGAGGAGAAATCGACACACATGAGCGCAGCGCACACACACACACAGTTAACAACATACTGCCTATAAAAAATCTAAATGTGGAGTTTCTATATTTTAACATGTGTTAAGCAGCCTCAATTATTTTTCCTGAATACCATATCACGATTGAAAATGTGACATTGATTTCCTACAACAGTTCAATAAACAGTTAAAATTAAGTCACTTACATTTTAGATGAATATTGGCTGTTTTTGTTCTGTTGCTGCAGCGAAAATAGTTCCAAACAAAAATCACAGCAGAACCACGGCGCATCTCACAGGAACACTCGACCTGTTTTCATTACTGAATGATTCAGCATTTTGACCGAATCGGTTGAGTCAAAGATTCAATGACCCATTCATTAACATCTGTCTCATTCTTGAATGAATCAACCGTTTAAACGAATCGTTTGAATTAATGAATCAATGACTCACTCATTAATACGGCCGCCTGCCGCCACCTATTGGCAGTTTAGTGTTATGTTTATAAGTAGCCTAGTATACTTCTTTCCAATGTTTCTTATTTATACATTTAAATAAATTTCATAACATTATTTTATGCAATTGTAATTTTTCAGTGTAAAATATTTAATTTTATCAGCCCTACCTAGGGTAACAGTATGCTTCATCTTTCATTTTAAATTCCTAAATTTGATCAATAAATTCATTTATTTAGAATAAGACGACACTATATAGGGCATTTAATAAGATTGGGCGAGGGGATTCCCTTCAAAGGTGCAGATATTACAATATCCCAATTTAAATATCAAAGCTGATTGAACACTGATGAGAATATTGCTTCAGAATAAATAAATAAAATTTAAAAAAATCCGGACAAGCAACTTTTTTGATGTGAATGACAGATTTACTTGTTCGGAGGGCAAGCACATGAAAAGGCTTAAGGTCGAGCCCTGAATAATTTCCTACCTATCCCTTGCTGCCACAAAAAAAAAAAAAAAAAAAATCCCTACCGACCATGACCTCAACTGACAACAAACCGGAACCAAACTTTTTTTTTTTTTATGCCTAATCATGAGTTTTTCTCTCTACATAATGCACAGATAACTCAGATAAGTACAGACTGTTGTTTTGTCCTTTCTGAAAGGCATGTTAATTAAAATTTCAATAAGAATTGAATGTTGTGGCTTCAGAGTGCACTTTGAGCTTTGGTATGGACCATACCTCATTTCATGAAGGGTACTCATGAAGGACAGTGTCAAAGACAAATAAGCACTTACTTTCACCCCCACCCACAGTGTCATAATGAAACGAGTACTTCTTCATAAATGTACAGTAAGGTTATAGTTTCTCAGTTATTGTAAGTTGGCCATCATACCATTACGAATGGATGAAAATGCAATAATGCTGCCTGGCCATACAAATTAAATGTTATTTACCTCTTCCCCATGCTGTACAATCACAAAAACAAGTGCATATTCACAATTTTTCATTCAGTAGCATTCATAAAGTATGTGTATTTTGAAATATAATTCACAAACCTCTCTTTAAATTCACCATGAAATTACATCACAATCCATTTACTTATATAATAGACCATTCAACAAGTGTAAAACTAATTTCTTAGGCCTTTAAAATAACTGAAATAATTTGCAGAAGTTATATGGAACTGTAATAGGGGCAACAGACCGGGAACTTCATAGCTGTGCGTTTACTAGAAAATAATAGAGCGCTGCAGTCGTGACGTTAAAACAGGAACACTAATTCGCCACACTCTAAAAAATGCTGGGTTGTTTCAACCCAAATGGGTCAAAAATGGACAAACCCAAATGTTGGGTTAAAAATGTAATTAAAAAATTTACAGTTGAAAGTGAAAGTTGGGTTAAAATTTTAAATTACATTTTTAACCCAACATTTGGGTTTGTCCATATTTGACCCAAATTTGGGTTGAAACAACCCAGCATTTTTTAGAGTGCAGTGGTTCCATCAAGATTTTCCTATGGATTTTAATATTTTTTTTATCAATTTATTAGTAAAATAAAGTATGTGGGGTAAACATGACTTGACAATATTTGTACGTTTTGTTCTACAATGTAAATTACACACACCCACATCATCCTGTTCGGCTGATGACGTCTAATGTCCCAGTAACCTCTGTAGTTCCTTTTAGCCACTTGTTAGTAACTGCCTTTTACAAGAAATTAGTTAAGTAAAAGCATTAAAAAAAGCTTTTACTTTACTTTTTTTTTTTTGGTCATAGAATAAAACATGAAAATATCTTGAGCTTGTGTTAACAACATACCTTATTTTAGACATTTAACCAAAACCAAAAAAAACAACAAAAAAACTGACTTTTAAAATGGTAATTTGTTTCGAGGTTTTGGCCAACAAAAATACATTATCCCTGCGGCATTCTATTGCACACTTTAGAATGTGCATCAACCAATCAGAATAAAACATTCAACAGCCCTGTGTTGTAAGACATTTTTATGTAAATTAAGATAATTTGTTTTATGTGGATTAATGCACACAAAGGACCATTAAGAAAACATTAACATTGAGAAACAACATTTTTAAATTTGCCAGTTCTTTCTACAACCTCTTATCACCTCACATATAAGTGTCCTTGTGTCTGTCTTATTCTCAGGTGGGGAAGATACGCAAGACAGCAGCACGGAAGCGGGAATACCATGTTTTGTTCATGGTTATCACCACCGTGGTGTGTTATCTTTTGTGCTGGATGCCATATGGTGTCGTGGCCATGATGGCTACATTTGGCCAGCCAGGAATCATCTCACCCGTGGCCAGTGTGGTTCCCTCTCTCCTCGCAAAGAGCAGCACAGTCATCAACCCGCTAATATACATCCTGATGAACAAACAGGTAAGAGCACAAACTAAATCATATACATGTCATACACAGTAACTACTAGGGCTTTAATGCACTTCTCTGAAGTTTTTTGCTGTAATTATGAGAAAGCTGCTTCTTTTACTTTTTTTTTTTTTATTAAGTTGGCATTAAATGAAAGTTGCAATTTTTCATCTTTTCTTTGTGAGGTATATCTGAGTGAAGCAGCTTCTCGAACTAGAACGAATGTGGGTGGGACTTGACTTTGTCCATCTGAAATTGATTGGATGGTTGTGGTTTGCTATTGCTGTGATGTCATGTGAGTGACAGGTTAATCCCGCCCTCGTAACAGTAAACGTGTCATCAGAGAAGAGAAGAGATGTTGATGCAAGAGGGAGGGAAAGCTATTTTGATAGATTACGAGGGTACATGAATTAAAAACGATGATGAAGAACACGGATAAATTAACCATGATATATTTTTTTATTCCTGAAGTTTCAAGAACTGAATGTTCTTTAATAAAATCAAATATTCAGGGTGAAAAAAGTTCAGTCCAAATCTGGATAGATTTACCAAAAAAAAACAGAAGAGGGACAAGAAATTGACAAGTAGCACACACAATATGTTACTGGGTCAAGTAAAGGTCAAGCTTTTATTATAGAATTAATGGTCAAAAGAACACATGTAGTGGTTCATGTACGGTCATGTGATCATGTATGGTATTAAAATCATGTACTGGTTTAAAAATTAGCTCAATGACAAATGTGTATTAACATATGTAGAAATAAACATTATAAAACGTCTATGGCTTTTGAAAGTGAACAGGCCTGTAATAGACAATTGCAGATATTTACAGTCTAAAGATCAATACTTTCACAGATAGAACATACAGTAGTAGCAGGAAAGAAAATTAAATAAAAGGCTGTGTGGTGTAGAATTACAGAAAGAAAGAAAACAGATAGAAAGTACGCTACAGAAAGGACATTTATGAAAAGGAAAGGTACAGAAGAAAGAAAATCATCAATTAAATTAAGGAAAGTTGGCACATATACACAGCACCACAGATACAGTACCATTCAAACATTCTCACACACAAACTCAGGAAAACCGCACATTATCCTCAGAATCGTACTGTGCACATCTATGAGACAACATTGAAGTTCGCCAGTCAAATCACCTGCATTTTCTCTTTTCTGTAATAAAGATCATAAGCTCAAAACAGAGCTAAACCTAGAGACCCAGCTCATATTTCCCATTACAGGCTAAATCCTAACATTAAGGTATTTATCATGAATACTAACAAGCCCCGCTTTGTCACATGCTCTGTAAACCGTAGTGTACACCCCAACCCCCTTCCCCAAAAGTAGTCATATCACCCCATGACATGAAAAACCAAACAATTTACAAAAAACACTTCAAATAATACTCTTAAAACAGCCATTACTCCAGTCACATGGTCTCTTCTCGGCAAGAGACAGACAGAGTTTATGCCGCTAAAACACCTTGTTAAAGGCTTAGGAAAAGACATTCACAGAAGAAGGACATACGACTCTGATCGCAGGATGCTTAAAGACTAAAGAGAAAGTAGAAGGCAGAGTTTTAGTCCCTCTATAAGGTCACATGACCATTTGGCCATCATGTAGAATAAAAAAAAAAAAAAAGATCTGGGAGAGCCTTGGCCAAACGGTTAACGTATACCATTTTCCAAAAGTTTGGGGCAGTGTAATAATTTTTTTTTTTTTTTTAAATAAATAAAAAGACCGTATTTATCTATTCCACTATGCTACCTTTTCATTGTTTTTCTATGTGAAACGCGCTAGTCGGACGCGTTTGACCGCTGCACTCGCGTCTTTTGCAGCGTCTCCATTCTAAAAATGCTGTGCCCAAGTTAAAAGTTCAATTAATGGCTGCAAAATATTTTTTATTTCAAATAAATGCTGTTATTTCAAGGAATCATGAAAAACAATATCTTGGTTTGCACAAAAATCAGAACTGATTTCAACATTGATAAGAATAGCTACTAAAAAAATTATAATAATAATAATAATAATAAAAAAGCTTTTCAAACTGTAAATTGTACAAATATTTCACAATATTACTGCTTTTACTGTATTTTTTATCAAGTAAATTTCGACTTGAGCATAAGAGACTTCTGACTGACCCCAAACTTTGAAACGAAAAGCATACATGCTCTCCTCCGAGTCATTTCCTGTCCTCTCCACTAGCCTTCCAATAAAAAGTGGCGAAAAGGCCCCCAAAAAAACAGACTGGAGGTGAGTGTGAAGTCACACATGCCCGACAACCACGGCCGGCTCCAAAAATGAGTCATATAGAGATGATAATACTGCAGGTTCACAGGCTCTAAACCTGCCATGGAATTTTACAGACAAACCTATTTTAGTATTCAACAGTTAAAAAAAAAAAAAAAGTCACTCTTCAGTATCTCTAAATCTACAATCCCCCAACATGGGGAAACAGGACAGAGTAAAGGTCAAATATTTGCTTTACAACCTCAGCCTACCATAGGACTAGAAGTAAGATGAAGTATTTCACCCTGGTGAGAGTATCGTGAGCTCCTGAGTGAAATCACCAATTACTACTTTACTTCTACAATATACAACAGCGATTAAAACAGACGTTAGCTCTCCTCACCAGATCTACAGAAACATCAGTTCTGTTTTAATTCGAATGGCACACATTGAAACAATGCACACGAGTAAATAACAAACCTTCAAGTTTTACTTTCTGTAGAAAAGTCGCACCACAAAGTGAATTGCTTCAAATCAACAACTGTACATGTAAGAGAAGACAACGCAAAGATGCTCTGGTAAGTCATTCGCTTTTAAAGAAGACTCCGGCGGGAGTTCTCCTGATTTTAGGGGCTACAAGACATTAAAAACCTTAACAATTAAGATCACCACCACACTTGTTATATTGCCAGCAGCCTTAAAGTCCCAGATTAGATTTACAGAGCAACTCTATTTTTTTGTAAACCACCTGTCTTGACAGTTTTTCAAAGTATAAAACCACTAGAAGAGAATTAAAATGAACCACGGTCACATTCAAAAGCTCCTTTAGTCGATTTGTACAATAACAGGTAAATGTCTGTAAAGTACTCTAAAAACTATTGATTCATTTGCCACAGTTCAGCGAGACGTTCGGGAAGAGCAAAACATTCTCAAAGAGGCTTGTGAATGTGGCAAAATGTATATTACATCAGGAAACAACACTTAATTTACAACAAAAAAACCCTAAAAAAAACAATCACGTTATGGCGAGAAGCTTTAAATCTGTCAGTATGTTAGAAAAAAGAAAACCTACGGACAGATTGACAAAGCTCAGTTTTAGTCAGAGAGTAAATCTAGCCTTAGTGAATGCTTGCTTTCGACAGTGTAGCTTTCAGTGTCTATGACTGCTAATGCTTCCAACCCAGTGAAAAACAGAGTTTCAATTCAAAATAAATTTTTTTTTTAATGGCTTTCAACACCAAGAAAATCCACAGATCTTAAACAAAAAGCTTTTCTCACGACACGTCTATTGCTGTTCTCGCATCTTTTATTTAAGCGTAGGCTCAGGAAATGCATTTTTGAGTTGAACTACAGCAGAAGGTTTTTGCCCCGCAGAAATAGTCTACGTAACACTGTCCATTTCAAAGCCGGCTCGGCGTGGTCCTGCGTCGGTCTGCGGAGCTCTTCTGCTTTACAAAGTCTGTTATTGCGTCTTTTTTGTTCAGGGCTCACAGTGAACGTTCTTGAAACCGGGGAGCGTGACCTTGCCTTTCCGTTTGAGGTCTTCCTCTGAGCCGACGTTCATGCGCTGGATGAGCATCTTCTCGTAGAGCAGGGGGTGATACGCACCCAAAGTGCAGGCGGCGTCAAAGTAGCGTTCGTGGTAGTGGCACAGGTCCGTCTTCCGTAGCGAAGGAATGTATTCGTACACGTGGACCTCTTCACATAAGGACATCATCAGTAGGATGCCTGAAACACACACAGAACTAGATATTAACAAAGCAGGACACACACAACCACGTGAGCTTAGGGTTGAGGGGGAGAGAAAAACAGTTTATCATCTGAAACATGCTGCGACTTCAATGCCAAAGTGACTTACGTAATGCATTTAAGGCCAAGCACGCAAAACATGCGCAATTCGTGCCAAATGAGAGCAGTTAGTGAGCACATCTCTCACACACTGCTAGTTTCAGTAAGGTAGTTTTGTAATACATGTTTATAATGAATGCTACAATAATTTATAGGCTACTTAATATATTTTTCATTCCTGTTCGGTTCTTGATGGTTATATTTAATGGATTTGTTGTGGAATGATGGGAACTAAAAAAAATACACGTGTAGCGTTTATAATGTTTGTACGTTTCTTTTTATTTACCGATATTTTACAGCATTGAATAAAATGTGACTTATACACAGATGCAACTTATCTGCGACTTTTTTTTTTTTCTCTCAGCAATGGAAATTTTGACGGTGCAACTTGTTTTACCAAATTTTCTGGAAAATAAACTGCAATTTCAGAGCAAACATGTGGTCCGATTCAACAACGAATTACTCTTAGACACTTGGGAAAACCCATATCGGTCAATCACTAATTCGCAAACTCAAACTGTGACAGTCACAACCCATTTACTTGCACAACATCAGTATTTCTATGGAAGCTTGTTTCCACCACAGAATACACATGAAAAGTAGTTGCAAATGTTTATCCCACAATTCTGACTTTTCTTAGAATTGCGTGATATAAACTTAAAACTCTGAGTTATAAAGTCAGAATTGTGAGATAAAAAATTGCAATTACCTTTTTATTTTTTATTCAATGGCAGAAACAAAGCTTCCATATATTCCCTTGTGATCCAGGATGTTACGTCAGCCGACAGTCTATCATTTTAAAGACGCAATTACATTTTGATGAAAGATTTTTTCTCCCTTTGTTATTGCAAAGCACAATTCATCAGTGCATGTGTATTAAGAAATTGGATTTCATGTTGACTTTAAGGCTGTCTATTCACACCAATATCAACAAGACAATTAAAGCTGCGAGCAACATTTAGCGGTGTTCAAGCAGTTAATTAAGGCCTTTAAGGCCGTTAAGCACAAAAGCATCAAAAGACATTAAGTTTTATTTAGCATACATTTAAACACTGACATAATAGATGGAAAACACCATTTACAGCCAATACAGGCAATTTACCATAGGAAATATATGGCTTTTAACAGTCATAGCGCCACCTATGGTCCGATCTCCATAAAACTTTGCATGCTTGTTAATGATGTTATGTCACATATGCTCATCAATTTTTGTAAAGTTCTGAGTTTTCTTGTAGGATTTATAGGCTTTTTTTCCCCAAAAAATCCTTACAAATACAATAGGTTTTCAGCACTTCGGGCTTGAACACCTAATAAGAATGAGACCTTTTTGACGGTTATAGCGCCACCTATGGTCCGATCTTCACGAAACTGTGCATGCTTCCTAACCATGTTAGGACACATATGCTCATCAATTTTTGTGAAGTTCTGACTTTTCCTTTAGGATTTATTGGCTTTTGACTGTATTTTGCCACGGACTACTTTTTAAATGACCCTGTTATAGCCAACCAAATGCAAAATTTCAACTTTTTTTTCCGATAATTATTGCTCTAGAGAGTCCAGAGAATTGTCCTAGACTGGTCTGGTTCCGATCGGGCGAAAAACCAGGGACTAGTTCGCAAAAGTACGTTTTTGACAAAATTCGACATAGCGGAACATCATGATTGAGGCTAGGACCAACGGTCTAGGAGTTATGAGCAATTTAGTACTTTTGGTTGCTGTAGCGCCACCTATGGGCCAATCGGGGTCATACTCTGATAGGTTCTCCCCAAAAGTGTGGCCTACCATCTGGCCGAGTTTCAAGTCTCTAGGCCTTACGGTTTGGGCTGCACGATGCGTTTTAGGGGATTTTTTTTTCAAATAGCAATTACAATAGGTTTTCAGCACTTCGTGCTTGAACACCTAAAAATGACCAATCACAGCAGAAAATGATGATTTCACACCGAGACTATTCATACCAAGAACAGCACAACTTCTCACCAATATCTGAGAAAATTCAGCATTTAAAAAAAAATAAAAAATCATTCTGGGTTGTATTTTGCTTCTGTAAAGGTGCAGTTATGTTTATCACTGCTCTGTGAAATTTTTCTGGGCAAAATCCAGTAATTTCATTAAGAAATGGGAATCTGCACAATCGGGAGTTTCACAGAAGAGCACAAGGGAGATTCCCCACGCAGAATTCAGTCGTGTTGAAGTTGGTCTTGCGAACTCAACTACAAAAATGGTCTAATCCTTTTTGCCCACAAAATTTCACTAATGTGACTGCACGTTAAAATTTAGCTGGTGAAATCCTGTAATTTCAAAAGAAAAGGAATCCGCATGATCAGTAGTGTTGTGTAAGGGCGAAAACGTTTCACACGCAGATTTCGCCCGTGTTTAAGTTGGCCTTGTGTATTTGCCGTGTTAACCAACAGTAAAACGCTTGGTTTGAAAGGAATTTCTGTGTGAATGGTGCTTCATGCACCACTACTCTATTGACAATGGATAACAGACCTTTTTTGCTAGTGTGACTGCACTTTAATTTAAACGCACTGCAAAAAAAATGTTCTTTTTAAACATTTTCTAGCCAAAAATCCATACTCCGTTTGAAAAGCCTTTACATTTTTGAGACTGTTGACAGTATTACTCAGGTCTAAAGTGTCTCTCTTTGTCTAAAGTTCTACAGGTGTTTCCGCATCTTGTTCTGCTGTCAGAGGAGTTTGATGCAGAATGGTCACACATCCATGCCCTCCAAGACCACAGTCATCCAGCTCAATCGTAGAGTCTACAGTAACACTGTCGCCTGCACAGCCCAGATCTCCACCGGCATCCACAACTGCAGCACTCCTGCCACAGAGAGAACCAACCCCCCAGTGGTCAGCCCTTAACCTGAGCCATCCCAAACCAGGATGTGGATGATTGTCGACCCTGCCTTGTTTTACTGAATGTAACAGTCTCATTCCACTGGTTTTCTTGGTCTTGGCCTTTTTCATCCTTCTCCATCAACTAGACAACTCATTCACTCTCCACAGTTTTCCTTTTCCTATGCTTCCTTTTACAGCTGCATCAATGAATAAAAAAATAATAATAATAAAAAAAGAAAATGGTTCTATACTGTCTCGGAAGAGTAAGACTGGTATGTGTATATCTGCTAAATAATTCATTTTGTCACCTTTAACACATAAACAAGCAAATATACACTACCATTCAGAATACTGGGGTCAGCAAGTTATTTATTTATTTCATTTTAAAGAAATTCATACTTTTATTCAGCTGATCTTTTGAACCTAATTCTGGCTGCTAAAAACTCAGCTTTGCCAGCACAGGAATAAATTCAATTTTAAAATATATTTAAAAGAGAAAACCTATTTTAAATCGTGATCATTTCACAATATTCCGTTTTTTAGTGTATTAACAGGTTTCACTGTTTTGATCAAATAAATGGAGCCTTGGTGAGCAAAAGAAACTTTCAAAAAACTAAAATCCTTACCAAGCCCAAACTTGTGAAAGTTTAGATTTACTAAAAGACCAAACCACCAATTTATGATTCCAAATTTACTTTAACTGTTCTGCTGCTTTTCAAAATGAAAGTTTTTTTTTTTTTTTTTTTTTATCTGCACAATATATTGTAACTATTGTAACTTTTGTATAGTATTTGAAACCATTTTTGCACAACATGTGAAGCATGCTTTTTTCAACTTAATTTGCACATTAGGCAAGACGTGGAATATCTACAGATTTAATAAATTATTTAAGTATTTGCAGCCCTTTTATTTGCATATCCTTATATCGTCTTTATCTATTTAAAATTAAGAGTTTCTTCCGGTTAATGTTTCATTTGAACTAGTCAATTGTTATCATTGAAACTGTCATCAAGAAGAACAAGTTTTGACTACGCTGATATTGCACAAGGCATTGAGCAGTATTTCCTTGTGTTATACGTCTATCATACAAACTCTGAAGGAAAAAATGTAGCCATATTGCATACTACTGAAAAAATGTCATGAATTATATGGGCTTTTTTTCTTGCTTAGAACACTTTTTTTAAACAAGTTATTTGTTACCAATACCAAAGAGCACTCTTATCTGTTCCATCATACCTCATATTGTTCCATTTCTCCCAGTTATGTATCATATGATGAGTTCTATTGCAGTCTTGAGCCCAGGTAGCTGATGTATAGAAAACTAGAATAAAATTGGAGGCACACTGATCCAGAGCACTTCACATCTGTGACAACGACAGTGTTTCAGGAACAACGCAATAAGTATAAAGAACCATTTCCACAGAGGGAACATTCATCCAAAAGATCAAACACATTATGCATAATACACAGGGTATGAAAGACTCACTTGGGATCCTCAATTAATTCTCAGAGGGATTTTCAAAAAAACCCCAACCTTTTGCAACGTGCTGAATGTATGCCTGGGGATCAATAGTGTCAACCTGTGACAAAAGTGACACAGCTCAACCTCATGAACATCACTCCCATCGCTATAACACTGAAAGGATTGTGTATAAAGTGCCAAACACACCAAGAGGGACAATGTGAGCATTTCTGCATTTAAATATGTCTATTTGTAACAAAGTAGCCCCATTAATAATTGTCATGACATTACAAAATGGATATTTGCCTGTCAAATTGAGCCATTTTGTTCGTTATATAAACGCAGATCAATGTATGAAAACCACCAATTGATTGCAGAAGTCTATGATTTACGAGAACCTGTCTGTGATTTTTATAAAGTTTGAGAGGCATTAACAGCTATTAAATGATTGTGAATTGTGTTTGAATTCTAAATCTTTGCTAAGCCCTTTCTGAACCAGTAATTATAGCTTTTTTCCCACTGTACAAAACTATGCACCATGCTAGACTTGCCACAATATCAATTTTCTAACAAATATGTATCCACATTTAAACTCAGTGGTATCCGCTTGTTAACTCATAATGAAGTATTGAATACCGTTTCTGGCTCCAAGCTTCCTCTCAGTTTCAAGAGTGAATACCATATCAACAGCCATTTAAGAGTACTATTCATTTATAGCACACCTTTAACCCTTAAACGCATACCTCAGAGCTTTATCGACCTGGGGCGTCAATCACTACCCTCCCCCCTCATTCATTTTTAAAGTTAGACATAAACCTTAGTATTTCTCAATCTACTCATCAACAATATAATAAGAATATACACTCACCTAAAGGATTATTAGGAACACCTGTTCAATTTCTCATTAATGCAATTATCTAATCAACCAATCACATGGCAGTTGCTTCAATGCATTTAGGGGTGTGGTCCTGGTCAAGAAAATCTCCTGAACTCCAAACTGAATGTCAGAATGGGAAAGAAAGGTGATTTAAGCAATTTTGAGCGTGGCATGGTTGTTGGTGCCAGACGGGCCGGTCTGAGTATTTCACAATCTGCTCAGTTACTGGGATTTTCACCCACAACCATTTCTAGGGTTTACAAAGAATGGTGTGAAAAGGGAAAAACATCCAGTATGCGGCAGTCCTGTGGGCGAAAATGCCTTGTTGATGCTAGAGGTCAGAGGAGAATGGGCCGACTGATTCAAGCTGATAGAAGAGCAACTTTGACTGAAATAACCACTCGTTACAACCGAGGTATGCAGCAAAGCATTTGTGAAGCCACAACACGCACAACCTTGAGGCGGATGGGCTACAACAGTAGAAGACCCCACCGGGTACCACTCATCTCCACTACAAATAGGAAAAAGAGGCTACAATTTGCAAGAGCTCACCAAAATTGGACAGTTGAAGACTGGAAAAATGTTGCCTGGTCTGATGAGTCTCGATTTCTGTTGAGACATTCAGATGGTAAAGTCAGAATTTGGTGTAAACAGAATGAGAACATGGATCCATCATGCCTTGTTACCACTGTGCAGGCTGGTGGTGGTGGTGTAATGGTGTGGGGGATGTTTTCTTGGCACACTTTAGGCCCCTTAGTGCCAATTGGGCATCGTTTAAATGCCACGGCCTACCTGAGCATTGTTTCTGACCATGTCCATCCCTTTATGGCCACCATGTACCCATCCTCTGATGGCTACTTCCAGCCGGATAATGCACCATGTCACAAAGCTAGAATCATTTCAAATTGGTTTCTTGAACATGACAATGAGTTCACTGTACTAAAATGGCCCCCACAGTCACCAGATCTCAACCCAATAGAGCATATTTGGGATGTGGTGGAACGGGAGCTTCGTGCCCTGGATGTGCATCCCACAAATCTCCATCAACTGCAAGATGCTATCCTATCAATATGGGCCAACATTTCTAAAGAATGCTTTCAGCACCTTGTTGAATCAATGCCACGTAGAATTAAGGCAGTTCTGAAGGCGAAAGGGGGTCAAACACAGTATTAGTATGGTGTTCCTAATAATCCTTTAGGTGAGTGTATATATATATATATATATATATATATATATATATACACAAATGTCTGTTTTCTAATAATTTTTTTGTAAAAAAAAAAAAAAAAAAAAAAAAAAAAAAGTGTATAGGGTCGCTAGGGACCCAGGGGTATGTAGTATAATTATATATTTTTTTCTGCGCAACAATAATTGAATCTCTGATGACTCCAGTGCAATTACCTTTACTCCTCAAGGTGGAAATGTCTGATACACAATGATGATGTGATGTTTAGCTAATAGTTACAGAAAACAAAAGAATAGGAAGTATTATAAGCAAAACTTGAAATGGTGATTTACTGCAGAGCAAGAACAGAACGCAATTAGAGATCTCAAATATGAGCCAGATGACAGAACATCTTACTTCCACATTCCAAAAGGTAACAATGTTTTTTTTATTTTTTTATTTTGTTATTATTAAAACATCAGGAGAGTTTTATACTATTGCAGCAGACCCACCCGTGTTAGATATCGATCCAGGTTGCTAAAGACCTGAAAATGCAATTATGATTGGCAAAACATTCATGCGTTTAAGGGTTATGCTAAGCTTTTAACAACCTCATGGTGTACACTAGAGTCTCCAGGCTCATGGCATCCCAGACAACATTTTAATGATTCAGAAAAGATGAATCACTCTCTGGCCAACTGAGATTTTGTTATGGAGATAAACAAATTATAATGAAAAAAAAAAAAAATATATATATATATATATTTTAAATTTACACACTTAAAGGATTTGTTCAACCAAAAATGAAGAAAACATGCGCAGTGGTCACAATAACACAAGGCAGTTTGATTCTAAACCTCAAATTTTAACTCCAATAAAAATTACACTTAAAAAATAAATAAATAAATTATTTACACACTTAAAACATTTGTTTAACCAAAATGTGCCAGTCTCCAGTCTCACAGTGTCCTAAACATTGTTCCTAAACAAACAAAAATTGTTTTAACAATTCAAAAAAGATTCATCTTTAGGATGTTTAAAGTTTAGGATCATGATTTTTCTGTATTGTTACAGCACATTGTCAGTGTATATTTGCATAGTTTGTTATTTGCTTTTGACATGTGATTGACCGTTTGGACCCTGAAACAGTGACACGTGACTTCAGACTTAACAAGCAGATTACCTACGGAAAAGACCCCCATACATAGTGGAGTTTAGTAATCCATAGGAAATCTGGGATTCAATATCTAATTTAAACTGTATATTATAGTTTCACAATTGTGAAGAAAAAAAAAATAGAATATGCATTTCACTCAACTAATTCATTTAATGAAAAAAAAAATGCTAGGTTGAAAATGCAAAAGGGTAGCATTTTCAAACATGGACATTTGGACACCACTGTAGGCCACACCACACTTCCATTGACATCTCCATAAAAACAGGCACCACATCTATGAGGAGTTTACACAATATGAATGTCTACAATATGGCCGAATATCTAACACCGGTTCAACAAGATCTGTAGCTACGACTAATTATTCCTGAGCTTGAAGCAATGTATGCTGCATTTTATCAGCCAAGCTCAAGGTTTATGAGGAGAGGAGAGTAAATGAGTGTAGATGAAATAAACAGATGTGCTCAGATCGTTCTTTGTCGTCATTTAAAGCTGGCATGAAATGGAAATTCACCATATCCTGGTTTTTTTATAGAATATTGCAGTATTTATTATAAATGATTAATCCGTGAACAATCACTTTTCAATACAGTTTCCCCTCCCTCTTGCAGCAACATCTCTTCTCTGATGAAGCGTTTACTGGCGTGAGGGCGGGATCAACCTGTCACTCACATGACATCACAGCAATAGCAAACCACAACTATTCAATCAATTACCGATGGACAAAATCAAATCCCATCCCAACATTTTTTTCTCGTTCGAGAAGCCACTTCACTCAGTTATACCTCACATTAGGGAAGAAAAGATCAGATCACAACTTCCAACGTTTCATGCCAACTTTAATTTGACCTCGTAATGTTCAAATTCAAAATATCAGAACTGGATCTTCCAGTAAAATTACAGATCTCTTTGGTGACCTATCCCAGACTTCTCCAATCATTTAGTCCGCCCTACTTTTTCCCCCGATAATCTGTTACCCTCAAATGTACGTCACAATACAGAAAAAAGATCCATCACTATTTCCCTTCCATGACTTTAATACATTATAATGAATTCTGCAACATTGTACATATGGTCAGAGTGATTTTGTTGGTGTTGAATGTGGGTCAGACTCTTCTAAGCTCTAGGTTGAAAAGCTCCATTGCTGGATGAAAATGTGATTTCTCCATCTGCTACTCTCTCTATGGTTTAGGCCAACACTGACTGAGCAAATATCCCACAACCTCCTGACAAAGCAGAAGTCAGAATCTGCTATAGGTCACTTTCCACAATTGGGGTATTTTCTCACACTTTTGTAGCAGAATTGATGTCATTTGACATAAGAGTTAAGTTTGTCAAAGTTTGGCTTATTAATGCTGTCTAAGTGCCAGATTTACTAAACAGGGGAAATTAGCGTGAGAGCGAATTTCCAAAAAAGCGCTGATGGGAGTGGGAAGTTGAGAGCGTCATCTACTGGCGACGCGCAAATGAAAGAACAGACACATTTATATAATGACCAACACAATCTACCAAGAGCAGCACGAATTAGCGTCTGGTTTAAGACATGCTTTTTGTGGACGGTAAATGGCGCAAATACCAGTAAATTGATGAGCGCAAACCTTAGTAAATCGCCTTGCATTATTCATTTAAAGGTACAATATGTAGGATTTTTGCAGTAAAATATCCAAAAACCACTAGGCCAATGTTATATATTTTGTTTAGTTGATTACTTACAATATCCCCAATGTTTCCAACTATTTGTAAATCGTGAGAAAATTGCGATTTTAACCAAGGAAACGGGACGTGTCAGCAGGGGTGAGGAGTCGCCAGTCAATCTCTCATTAGCAATCGCGCCCTGCTTCACACCACAGTCATGTTAAAAACATCACTGTATTCACTCATCCATAAACAATCCATCAGCTTGACGACAAGATCCATAATTCCGCTTGATGCTTTGCGTCATCGATATACGCCTTTGTTATTGTAAGAAATTAGCGACCCCTAGTGGCCGAAAATTACATACTGTGCGTTTAAGTACTCTTTTTTTGGAATAAATGTAAAAATGCGCAAAAACACTAACTGGATGAGATTTATATTTGGTTTTTAATAAATATAACATTAATTACATAGTGTAAAAATACAAAATAGAAATGTATTTGGTCTTTATGTACTGTTTATTTAACCAGGAAAATGTGACATCATAAAATGTAAATTCATGTCCCTGTTACACTTAATGTATACTTTGCCTCATTTTTATGAAGACTTCGCCTCATTTTATAACACCGCTGCTGAGTATGTTTTATTAGAGCGCATTACTCAATGATGCGCGCATCTGCATAATTGCCTTCAGCAAGCAGTTCATGTTGCAATACATTCACAACCAGGGATGTGATTTTTCCGTATTTATGCATGGACTGCTTCCGACAGCACTAAAAGAGCAAGCGGCTGTGCGCAGAACACCCTTATTTCAGCCAGGGCTCAGATTAACACCCGCCAAGTGCTAAATGGGAGTAAAAATCAGTTAGTATATGAACTTGTTACTCACAGGTTGGTGCAATTATCGAATCAAAAAGGCTGATATTTAATTATATAACTATATAGTATGACAAGCTGGATATTTCAAAGTAAAGCCATAAATATTAGTATTATTATTTTACGGTTATTCAGTAAAATGATCGTTAAATACTTTTTAATTTTACAATAGCAAAATTTGCTTCGCTGATCATATGCCTGACAACCGACCGACGCAAGTGCCGTTCTGTGCGCATTATATTTTAGATTCAAAACCAAAAGGGCAAAACCTTGAGTAGAAAAGTGAAGTGAACAATGTTTTCCATTGTGGCTTCTCGTTGTTACCTTGCTGCCATTAAAGGTAGTACTCACTTGATGATGGAAACATGACAGTTGGGAGGCAAATAAAACCTCTTCAAGCACAGATTTCTAAAAGCACAGCCTCTTTCTTGGGAGACGGTTACAAGATGTGCATTTGGGGACGAAGTGTAAAGTGAAGGTGAAGTGTGCCATTTCTATGACGCCAAAATAGAACAATCAGTTTGTTTGAGCTGTCCGACTGGGATTTAAATGAGTGTTTCACCTCAAATACTGGAAAGAGTTTTGGCGGTTTAAAAACAGTTATTTGTGCAATTTTACTAATTTTACTCTTGGAGTTTTGAAACGGTAGCACAGAATATGTGCATGTGTGAGTGTGTATGTGCTGGTCTTACCTATGAACCCTGAGGAGGGTGGGTTGGGCTGAATGTTCTCCAGATTGTTACCCTGAATCACATCCCATAACTGCCAGATGTATTTCGGGTGCAGGATGTAGAAAGGCTGAGCGGGGAAGTGCATCCTGTGCTCCATGTATGGTGTGAACAGGTTGTAGTCTGGATTTGAGTACCACTACAAAACAAACAGTGAGTTGATTAAAAAAAAAAAAAAAAACACGTGTTAATGCCTTACCTTGTGTTGATCTATTTTCTAAATTCATCTTTTTATGAACATGTATGTTTTTTTTTTTTTATTGACCTTGTAATGTTTCATCAAAATGTCATAACTGGTGAAATCACAGACTTCTTTTTGGTCATGTATGCCAGACTTCTCCAATCATTTAGTCTGCTTAAATCAGCCCCTATGTTACAATTCAGATCTGCCACAATCCAATCAACAATTAATATGCTTTAAACAACATACTATTGTATGCGTGTATTGACAGGGGAAATAAAATATAGTTGTACTGAGAAAGATAAAATACTGAGATAGATGGTTGGAGAGAGAGGGAGAGAGAGAGAGATAGATGGTTGGAGAGAGAGAGAGAGAGAGAGAGAGAGAGAGAGAGAGAGAGAGAGAGAGAGAGAGAGAGAGAGAGAGAGAGAGAGAGAGAGAGAGAGAGAGAGAGAGAGAGAGAGAGAGAGAGAGAGAGAGAGAGAGAGAGAGAGAGAGAGAGAGAGAGAGAGAGAGAGAGAGAGAGAGAGAGAGAGAGAGAGCAGAACCACAGAGCAGAAATCATCCAACAACTTCAATCAACAAACAGGCAAGACACCTTCAACTACATTATTTTCAACACTAGAAAATAATAAGATAAGAAAGAGACGAATAACTTGTTGACTAGAGCTAAGTTAGCAACAGAGCAGTGAGTGACAGTTGTGGCAGTTGAGAATGGAGGCAGCAGCGCCCCTCCCCCGAACCATCACATACCCACAGAAGATGAAGACAGCAAAAGACAAGAAAACATATAAACACAATCTACTCAAGAGAAACCCAGAAACTTTAATGGCTGACTGTGTTCAAAAAGGTGACAAGTCCACTATCACTAATCTACTGCTCCACACAGAAAACTGCAATGCTTGGCACACAGGCATCTGCAAATACTACAAGAACTTCAAAAAACTCGGCATCTGTAATGGGAGACAAATTCAAATTCATGAAGAAGGAGGAGACACTAGCAAAGCATTTCTGACTGTAAATATATACCACAATGGAACCATAATGTTTCAAGGGAATGAAGCATGTCTCAGCTCTGTCCAGGCAAACTTTACCAGCCTCAAAGCACTGGCAGAGAGTGAGAAACAGACAGAGAGAACAGGCAGCCATGTTGAGCTCAAGAGATCAGGGGCGGAACTAGAGGAGGAGGAGGAGCCTGTCCTGGACTGTGACACACAGCTGGAGCAGTCCGTCACTCAGATGCGGAGCAGTCTGTCCCTACAGGAGGTCGAACTGGTGGAGCTCAGAGAACTGGTGCTCTCGCAGACGACATCCAGCGAGTGCATACAACAACTGGAAAACAAACTTCATCAGCTCACAAGAGAATTTAAAACTAGTGTTGAGGAGCTAAGAGGAGAAATAAAAAAGCTGCAGCAGGACAGAGATACCCTAAACAGTGAGGTGAAAAGTGTCAGAGAGGAGGTGAAAAGTGTCAGAGAGGAGCTGATCGTTAGAGAAAGAGAAATGCAAAGCCTGAGAGAGCAGACAGAAAGCGTCATACAGCCTGGCTCGAACGCCACCCAGACCCCAGCACAACCACTCCTAACGCCTCCTGAGACTATCACGCCAACAGCACGGATAGATGCCCACACACAAGACCGAGAAAGCACACCTAGTCACGTCCATGCAGAAATAGTCATCTTAATAGACTCTAATGGCAGGTTCATCAGTGAAAAACAGCTCTTTCCCAACCACAAATCTTTAAAACTTTGGTGCCCAAACACAGAGAGTGCCCTTCAACAACTCAGCAAAGAAACACTTGGTGATCCCAGTCACATCATCATACATGTGGGAACAAATGACCTGAGGACACAACAGGAACGAGTGGCACAGTCAGTTACACAAGTGGCAATTAAAGCAACACAGACTTTCCCAACATCAAAAATAATCATCTCCACCATCCTACCCAGAACCGATTTCCACCCCCGCACTATACAGAGAGTCAACACAGACATCTCACGCGGATGTGCTGGAATGCCAAATGTTCATCTGGCACATCACCCTACACTGGACATTCACAATCTCCATGACCACGTCCACCTGCGTAGAGACAGTGTGAATGTGTTTGCTAAAAATCTTAAAGATGTTGCCCTTGGCCGAACCCCTGGCAGTCCCTCAAAGAGTCAGAGAGAATCTAACAACCCTCAACCAACGAGACGCTTCATCCCAGCATCAGCACACAGCGTCTTCCCGCCGCATCCATCTGAGCCCTGGAGACTCCATCGCCCTGGCCCGCTGTACCCACACCCTGAACCCCAACGCCCACGCTCCCGGCCTCCACACCCACATCCCATACACCAACATCACCGTCAGCATCAGCAACGCCGAGACCTGATGCCCCCATACCAGCGGAAGAAACCGGCAGGACCCAGAGAAGCCCCGGCGATGGGTAACAACACCTCGACAGCGCAGACGTCATCAGCCCCACAGCGAGACGTCCACAGACCCGAGCCGGAGCAGCGGAGCTACGCTGCAGCCCTAAGAGGCCCAGACGACCCCCACAGCTCCAGTCTGAGAGAGATCAAGGACATGCTCAACTTAATCTGCACACGGCTGATGGACTAGTCGTGAGTAAAAGACACCAAATTGAACAGATACACTAATATATGTGTATATATATATATATATATATATATATATATGTGTATCTATACATTTATACGTATGTGCAAAAAAACAAAACAAAAAAAAAACACGTTTAAATACTACCAATATTACAAATAGGTAAATGTATGTATGTTTACACAGTGCACATAGATTTTAAACGGGTTCAAGTTGAGTTGGTTCTATTCTAGAGAAATGTTAAAATTGTTTATTGACCGCATGAAACCACTGACAATCACACATTGGAACATCCAGGGCATTAACTCATCAAGTTTTGGATGTAAAATCAAAACCTTGGATTTTAAGAAAAGTGTATTAGATATAGACATAATAATATTACAGGAAACGTGGCGCAGAACTGATGAGGTCACTCTCTGTCCCCCAGAGTATCGGGAAATACTCATATCGTCCCAAAAACATGAAAAAATTACACGTGGGAGAGATTCAGGGGGCATCATAATCTGGCACAAACTTGAAATTGATAAGTACATCAAACTAATCAAAAAAGAAGAATCTCATATCTGGCTCAAAATCAATAAACAGCTCAGTCAAACTACAAAAGATATATTCTTATGTGAATATATACTTATAAGAATTTCATTCTTATGTATCTCCTTACTATAATGAGAACATCTTTGAGACCCTCCACAGTCAAATCAACCACTTCCAGGCCCAGGGAAGTGTGCTGATGTGTGGGGGGATCTCAATGCCAGGACAGGATCCCTACCTGACCACACCACAGACAACGGGAATAATTATATATTTGGACAGAGCTTTCAACAAAACAGTATCTTTCAAGGACTAACTCTGATGCTCAGGTGAATAAAAACGGGAGGCTTCTACTTGAGCTCTGTCGAAGCCTCGGTCTGTACCTCGTCAACGGCAGGGTGAGAGGGGACTCTCTGGGGAGATACACCTACAGCTCATCTCATGGTTGCTCAACGGTTGACTACATGATCACAGATCTAGATATATTCTCTTTCAGAGCATTCACGGTCAAACCACTAACACCCCTCTAAGATCACAGCCAAATTACTGTGTATCTGAAAAGGAAAGAAAATACTAACATACACCCAATACAACCCAGTAAGCTGTACAACATCAAAAATATTTACAGATGGGTTCAAAACAGCACTGAAAAATACCTCGCCGCATTGGACCATCCCCAAGTGTGCTTACTTACGGATAACTTCATAGAATACGATTATCCTCAAAATGAAGATGGCGTAAATCTGGCTGTAGAAAACATAAATTACATATTTGATTATCTGGCAACAATATCTAATCTTAAAACCACTAAGAAAAATCATAAGCAAAAACAAAAGAATGAAAAATGGTTTGATTCAGATTGTAAAAGAATAAAGAAAAATTTAAGACATCTTGCAAATCAAAAACACAGACAACCAGACGATCCAGATCTACGTCTTCATTATTGTGAGGAGCTTAAAAAATATAGAAATACACTCAGAAAGAAGAAAGAACAGTACATCCAAAATCAGCTCAAAACTATTGAAGAATCTGTCCATTCAAACAGTTTCTGGGACAACTGGAATCTCCTGAATAAAAAGAAACATGAACAAATTACTATACAAGATGGAGACCCCTGGAAAAATCACTTTGAACAACTTTATAGCAAATTAGACATGAATATAAAACAAACACAAATATATGAAAAATTAAACCATTTAGAAAACATAATTGGCACATACCAAAACCCGCTAGATTACCCAATCACAGAAAAAGAGCTGATGGATAAAATTCAGGCTCTGCCAACAAAAAAGGCAAGAGGACCAGACGGCATCCTTAACGAAATGCTTAAAAATATAAACCCCAAATTCAAATTAGCCTTAATGAAACTGTTCAACTTGGTTCTGAGTGTTGGTCATTTCCCTGACAGCTGGAACAGAGGACTCATAACACCCATATTCAAGAGTGGAGACAAATCAGACCCCAACAATTACAGAGGCATCTGTGTGAGCAGTAATCTGGGGAAGATGTTCTGCAGCATCATCAACACCAGACTCGTCCACTTCCTCACAGAGCACAGTGTCCTGAGCAAAAGCCAGATCGGCTTCTTACCAAATTTTAGAACATCAGATCATATCTTCACCCTACATACCCTGATCGATAAATACATCAACCAAAACAAAACCAAAATATTCGCTTGCTTTGTAGATTTCCAGAAGGCCTTTGATTCGATTTGGCATGAAGGCCTTCTTCCTAAACTTCTAGAATCAGGTATCGGGGGCAAAACATACAACATTATAAAAACAATGTACTCAAACAATCAATGTGCAATTAAAATTGGCAATAAA